GTATGGAAATGTTAAATTATGTTTTTTTTTGTAATGTTGCAATAAATATTATTAATACAATTTTGATAATATGTCTGTATTAATTTTATATTTCTTATAATACTAATAGTAATTATATAAAGATGGACACAAAATACATTAATATGATATAAATTACTGAAATAGTTGCAATTATTAATATTTATGCTATATTAAAATGTTACATTATAATAATAAGTTTATTTCTTTAATTCGTTATAAAAAATTTAGTTTATTTTCCAATAAAATAGTTCTATATATAAATAGAAAATTAAGTTAGTAAGGTCGTTACCATATTTGTTAATATATACTTATATTTAAAATGATGATAGTTGTAGAATGTGTGTGTGGGATACTATAATTTCAATATTATTTGGTTTAGTAACAGTGCAAAGGATCAGAGGTGCTCTTCTTATTTCAATTAAACAGTTTCCTCTTGAAGGTAGATAGATGGTAGACACAAATAGCAGATGTTACCTTTGCATTCAAATGATGAAATGATAATGTTTGTTGTCTGTCGAGAGGTTTTGATATAAACTAACGCTAAGGAATACATATAGATGCGTATGTTTGCGCCCAAGCTTTGAGCAATTATAACAACGTCGAGTATCCTGTTTGATTAATCATAGGGGCCTTCACTGTGCAATTAATTGCAACATTTCTGGAGCCGAACAGAAGACAGACGTATCCTCTTTGATAATCAATTGATTCATATGATATTTCCGGTGGGAATCTTTACCGAACCACGCAACAATCGATATTAAGATTAATCATTAGTCCGACCTGTCCAAATGTGAAACCGTGGAACCGCTCGAAGGGAAAATCTTAATTGACAATTTCCATTTATCATCAACGATAAACAACATTCCTTCCATTCATTGCCAACTAAAATCGTTTGCATATTGCATGAATATTTATGCAACTCGATTCATTTAAGCTACCTAACTCTTGGTACTCTCTGAGAATTATTTAATAAATGCTTGGAAGCCGATCTATGTGCATAAGCAGGAATAATGATCGTTCCTACAATCTGCGCAGCATCGTAATTTTGATTATCATGTTCTAAATTATTTAAAATATATATTTTAGAATCATACATTGATCTAGCTATGAAAATACTTGACAATACTTTAAAATTTAGTTTATTGATTTAATAAATACAAATAAGATAAAATATACTGTAATTAGTAATTATATAATAGTTATAATTATGTTTCATTCTTTCCATTTATAATAAATGTATTGGATGAATATGTCAAATTATAAGCTGTTGACAATAGAAAAAAGGCTTGCTTCTATCCATTAAGGCTCTTTTATAAAGGAAGTTCTTCGAGACTGTATTTGAACAAGATGCTTTATTCAATAGTGAAATACTTACGTCATTGTCTCTAGATATTATCCTTATATAAAGCGTTTTCTTTTATTTCCATATAGCCCTTGTTCTAATTCTTTCGAATGAGGAAATCTGCAATAGCTTTGTTCCATCGCTCTATTAGTAATGGCATTATCAATTTATAAACGGACGATATTATTCTCTAAGGCAGCGATTCTCAATCTTTTTTCCCTAGATTGTAGCCCTCATTTATAATTTTTGTAAGTAATCGTGATGTTAATTTTACGTGCTTTAACTTTATTTCCACTGTTATTACCCTAAACAATCTATCGCGTACCCCGTAAATCGCTGCCTAAACCAAAGAGCCAGTTGAAGATATCTCAAGTTGGTATAATTTTTATAATAATAAATAAATATATACCCAAATATGAATTTGAATACTCTCGCACTCAAAACGAAAATCTTGCACATAGAGCAAAGAACCAATTGAAGATAGATAACTCAAGATAATTTATTTTTTTTCAATTTGCACTGTTCGGAAAAATGCCGCGGCGTACAGTTTGGGAACCCTTGGTTTAGACTAATATCACCTACTCACTTAGTCCATAAGTTTTTTTTTAGATGTATATCCACTCTGTATAAGTTTCCTCTTTGTTTACTGGATATATGAGCAATGAGAACATCAATAATAGTTAAGATTATAAAAAATGTCTTTTCAGACTGTTATCGAGTTTTGTAACCGACAGTATCTACTACTACTCGTACGAGAATTTAAAATCATAAGATTATTCTAAACTACTACCACTACTAGACTATAAACTTTAGAGTCTAAGTTAAATGTATAAGCATTTTAGAATATGATGTACTCGGAAGTGTATAGACGCTACACTGCAGAGTAATAAAAAACCCTTGGAGACTCTTTAATTGCGTGGAAGGAAATGCATGAGAGTCCGATTGCATTGTGCATGTGCGTCAGAAGGATGAAAGAGAGGGCTAAAGGTGTAATTGCGGAGAGTAATGGAATACTTGTAACGAGTATGCTAGTAACGAATGCAGGAAGAAAGAGAATTTCGTTGGATTGTAAAGGGAGGTATAAAAGTAGGGAGCACTTTCAGTTGAAATTGAGTTCTTGAGAATTGGGAGGTTCAAATAGATGTTAATTAATCACAACACACTATAATCAAAACTTTCCTCGGCTCTTTTAATCAAATTAAGTCATTTTCTTGTGACTATATTAACCTGTCTTTGGTTATAAAAAAATCAGAATAAATTTTAAGTGAATTTTCAGGCTTATCCTTTTTTTTAGTAATATTTGTTTTAAACTTATATATGAATATGAATGAATGTAAGAGTATAAAATAATTGTAACTAAGTTTTCCATTTTGTTTTAATTTGCAAAAGATTGAAGGTATCTCGTGGATGAATTGGATGAATTGTATTTACGATCGTTTTAAACTACTTTAATTAGTTTACGTAATGATGGCTTTAATTTTATATATGTACAATGCTAAAGGGATAAGAGAGCTCGACCAAGCTCATTTTGCATTAATTAAAAGGAAAAAACTCCATAATAATTTAAACTTTACTCGAACAAGAAAACACTCATTTAAACTTAATTTTAGAGTTTTAAGTTTATAAAGAACTTAAAACCATCAGAAAACTTTGGTTAATTATGTAATTTATAAACATATTTAATGTGCATATCTGATTTTATTATTGTGACATGAAATTGTAAATTTTGGATGGTAAAGTACTTGGTACTATTGATATTGAAATCATCTAAACTTAATTTAACTGTATAATTTTCCTCTCGAACTCAGATTTATTATAACAAAAACTAGTTAATAGTAGAAACCTAATCCTTTTTTATACTAATATGAAAACATATGTTAATTCACAAACTCTTATTAATTATAACAAAGACTTGTCAATGCTTGAAACCTGTTTAGTTTTATATTAATATTCAGTAGTACTGGATCTTAGTAGAGTAGATTAAATCGATTGTTCAAAGTACATTGTAGAATGCAACTTTTAAACACATGATTTTATCATCCCATTCACGAATTCACTATGCAATAATTTAACGAAACAATTCCACTTGAAAATGTCTAAATGGTACGTCGTTTCGTCAACGCTGTGAATGGTCGAGTATATTGCTCTCCGGCCAACTAAACCTGATAGTGAATGGACAATTTTAAGGCGGCAATTCGCTATAAGTTTGGTCAGCCGGATTAGAATGGTGCAACAGAACGACCATCCAAACACGCCACACACAGCCTCCAGTCAGGAGCATCGATCCCTGTGACCAGTTTTCTTGATTAAAGTGCCAAAGGTTAAGAAAATGTGCACTCTCTTTGGATGTCTCATACATTATTTTTTTTTCGATTCCCTAACTTTGCTCATTTATTATTAAAACCGTACGTACAGATTCTGGTAACTTTAAATTCGTGTCTGAGTATTTTCTGTTTCTATGTGTTTTTTTTTGCAAACATGTTTTTAATTGTAATATAAATAAAATTAAAAAATGGTATTTCCAAATTTGATTAGTTCCTATATATTTTATGAAGATATATAGGATATAATCAGAATTTATAAGATTTAAAGTACAATTCAATATGTATTCTTATTTGTAAAATATTTATAAAATTACTATAGTTCTCATATAAATTTTGAACAACAAAAATAACGTAAGGCAGAAATATTAAAACAATAATTTATTATATAATATTCTACATACAATTTAGTACAGCAACACCGCACATAGTTTGCATTTGTAAGTCCAGATTCACATGTAAAATATAAATAAAAATTTGAAGTTCTAGTCTAGTCTTTCAAATAGTTCGGGATAATAGAGTTTACTATCAAAGGTATAAATGCATTCGAAAGATGTTTAAAAATAGAGTAAATCTTAACAACTATAAATTTTATGAAAGTAAATATTTTACATTGAAACAAAATTCCATAATGTCTAGACATTTTCTAATGGAATCTCTAATATATTGGTTATTGCTGAAGTTCATCAACAAAACACTGCATTCCATACATTCACATTGTTTTAAGATTTACTCCTTCAATAATTAATTTATTATCTAAGAATTCTCATGCTTTATACATAAGCTGTTAGTATATTGTTTTCCTGAGGAAACATGGCAACTAAAAATACATACAGTAACTAAATAAATAATTATAGAATTATTAAATTTATATGTTTAATATAATACTGAAATTTTATAATTGACTCAAATTACATTAATTGAGAACGAATGATAGAGTATATGCTTTATTGTATCATCGTTTAATTTGTTATTATATTAGTGAAAAAACAGGTTAATTTGATCAATTGATGTATTGTTTAGTAGTACGCATTCCTCCAAAATATTTACTATTTTAAAGCAGACTTAGGTTTTGGGAAATCGATCTATTTATAAATGTTTGGAATATTTTCAGTCCTGTCCAATGTTAGTGGACGCATTGGAAGGGAAAATTATAATCGACAATTCATTTATCATCGCCGACGATAAACAGCATTCATCGTCGATTTACAAATTCATGTGAAATTTCTGCGTGCAATTTGAATATTAATTCGCGCGTTTACGTGCGCAACTTACTCTCTCCATCCTCTACTATTTTTTTTATA